ACTTAGGAGATGTCCTCCTGGGATGAAAGTGTTTTTAGATTGGACAAATAAAATACATGCTCTGCCCTTGAGTGTTTTGTTGCTTTGATAATATGTTCCTGGGTCTATTGAAGTACATTAAACTGCCCCTAAGAACACTGTCAGACACTTTCTTTTTGTTTAATTAGCTCCTGACCTGGATCTGTCAAATGTTAAATTTACACCTCAACTGGTTTCTTACCAACTGTGATCTGATCCATATTGAATTTCTTTTTTTTTTCGATATTTCTGCAAATTAGATTTTTATTTTCTTCATATGAGTAGAATCACTTGGGAATATGTCCTGATAGATATAGGCCTTTAAAAATAATGATGAATAAGTGATGACAAATAAAAGCTAAATTAACAGGATAGACCAAATGAGCAGAATTATATTAGAAAAAAGCAGGAAAATGACCAATTTAGGTGCCTGCCCCGTGGGCTGTAATATGTCTAATGCTGTTGTTCACAGTGCTTCATGTGTTCCCGGTGGTCAGTGAAAGTTGAAAACACAATCAGAAACGAATTTCTTTGCTTATTCTGGTTTGCCTTTTTAGTTAGAAAAATCTGTGTTGCTGTCTCTTCAATGTTTTTCCCACTCACTTTTTGGACTTGGATTCTGGAAACAGACTTTTTCTTATAGCTCCAGGAACTCCTTTTTTGAAAGTTACCTTTATGTTCAACCCTCTTTGACTGGGACCTAGCTCTGTAGACTGTCCCTTCTTCACTCCATGCTACTCTGGGATCCGGGGAGCTTGACTAGAAAGGTGTAGGGATTCCAAAGAACTCTTGTCTATTACCACCCTTAGCTATTTAAGTAGAGACTGGATGGCCATCATGAATAGAGTTTGGTATTTTATTGGGTTAGGCATGATGACCTTGTAAATACATACAAATTCTCTGATCTGGCTCTGTGCTTTCACTCCAGACTTGAAAGACAGTTCAAGACATAGTCACAGATGACACCTTAGCAAAATCCACATTTATTATAGTTCTTTAGACAGTTTTAAGTCCTTATTCAAACTTTCTTTGTCACTTACCACCATAAATATTATCATGGCACTACACTGTCTAGTCAAACTAGGTTTGTCATGTGGTCCCAGTTTTTATAAACTATTTTATTTTACCGTGACCATGCTGTTCACTTTGACCACTTTCTTCCAAGCCAATCCAGAGTTATGAACAGTTAATTTTTTAATCTGATTTTGGAAAGCATATTTGAACATGGGTGAGTGAATGTGGTTCTACATAGGAATATTTCTGAATTGAATTTGAGCGGTTTTAAAAATATTTTCAAATATAGGTCAATGTTTCTACTAGCAGATAATTCTAGTATGCTTCACAGTTGGCAAGTTAGTTGTAAAATAATAATTTAAGACTAAGAATCCTGGCTCAGAATGTAGGAGGCTTGACTTGGCAGATGAGGATCTGATTCCTTGATTTAGTTTTCCATGTTGTAAAGTAGAAATACTGATGCCTATATCTTTCCCATGCCATAGGGATATTGTTAGATTAAATTTAAATGACTGAAATAAATAGATTTTACAATTCTGAATATAATTTAAGAATGTAATCATTTTCATAATTGTCCTGTTAATCTAATTATGGAATTAGCATGAGAAACAACTACTTTGAAGTATTGTAAGCTACAACTAATGTAAAGTACTGCTAATATAATAGAAGTCATTGCTGTCACTTAATTTTCATCTGAAAACAAATTAAATTTATGATAACCATGAAAGATAGGTTATTAAGGAAATATTCTAATAAAAAATGTAAAAGTCAGTTCCCACCTGAATGTTTAATTTATACGACACCAAATTAGACTCCCTACTAAGTTTATTTGATATATTATCAAATGTCCAAATTTATAAGTGGTCAACATTTTTTGTTTCGTTTTTTTTTTTTTTTTTACACAGTGATTAATCTTCATACAGACCTAAGCAAGGAGTTAAAACTAAAGCTAAATGCTTTAAGCATTCTCTAATGTTCAGTTTTAAGCAACATGAACTAATTGGGCTGTAGGCAAGGTCTGCTAATAATTGTGAAATACCCTTGAGATCTAATTAATCACAGCTAAGAAACTTTGCAGAATTTGCCTGCAAAGAGGATATGTGGTAGCCCTTCTAAGACTCAAGAGAAAGGTGCTATCTAAAGATGCCACTTATAAATCCACAAAGATCTACTGGAGCTGAGCTAGTTGGCATTTTTCTTCTTACAACTTCACTTCTTGATGAACTAACAGCTGCCTGGGGCTCTGTCCATGGAGCCGTGTCAGACAAGTTAATAGGTGAGATTTGTTTTTTAAGAAATCATATAAATATAGAATCTCAGGATTAAATGGACCTTCAAAATCACCCTTCTTCCCCAACAGCCTAAGGTTTAAGTCTCTTCTTCCTCATGTAAATTATCAAGAAAGACAGAATCAACTATAATCCCACCACTTTAGAAGTAAAAATATTTTAGGGTCTTTTATTTTTCCCTATTCATATATATTTGAATTAATTAGAATCACATTATGTATTCAAATTTGTATCCATATTTTCCCCACTTAATATTATAACATAAGAATTTTCCTATATTACATAAATTTTAAGAACATCATTGTTAAAAACTACACATTTTTCTAAGACATACACTATATTTTACTCCCCCACTTCTCGAATATGAGACATTCCTTGGAGTTTCTAATTTTCTGCAGCTCTTAATAATTTTGTTGAACATATTAGTAATGAATGATTTTTCTCTTTTTAAAATATTTTCCTTTAGGATTTATTCTTAGAAAAAACATTGTGAAGTTCAAGGAAAAAGATAGGGTGACTTTAATTTCTTCATAGTTATTTTTAGGTCATGTTTATTATGTCTTCTCTTACTTTACACACACCATACTCTTTCAGATCTGTTGGGAGTCGACCTCAGAATAAGAGAAAACGATAAAGCAGGTACACTTTGTTTTCACATATGTACACAATTTTTGTATTGGAAAATTAAAAAATAAACCCCTTTATCCACTTACTATTCAAAGGAAAAATATTTTTCATAAAATACATTTTGTTATATTTATGTTTTTGGTTTTCATATTTTGGGGAAATTTATGTCTCCAAACTGGGAGGAGTTTTCCTCTTCTATTAATACTGGAGTTTTCTCAAACCAAGAATGATGTACGATGGATATCAGGGAAGGGTGGGAGAAGCAGGCATGAGAACATATGCAACAGAAACAAAGTAGTAGAAGGGATTATTCATCATGTGAGCAGGTGGATTGTTACATGATAACAAAATGTCAGAGGAGGGCCTGCAAAAGGGCTCTGTGAGGAACATGTTTATGGTTTTATATGGGCAAACATTCATTAATATGTAGAGTGTCCAATAACTATTTGCTGAATGAGTGACTATGTAAGTCATAGATACCTACTTATAGGAACTTGTAGATGCTATAAGTACATGTTTGTGTATGTGTGTGTATATATCTATATAGTACTTTATCTTATCTAGCAGTCTATTTCTGTTCTCTACATTGAGTTTCTATTTTTAAAACTTTGAAAATGATAAGTTCTTTGACTTTGACAGATTATGGATGGAAAAACTTCTCCAAGACTTTTTTTTTTTTAAGTCCCCGTCTATTGAAGTTTTAAATTTACTGAGTTGGTACTGTGTTAAATTGTATGTGGAACATAATTTTGAGGAATAAACAATATTAATTAAAGAACATGTCTGAGCATGGTGGCTCATGCCTGTAATCCCAGCACTTTGGGAGGCTGAGGCAGGTGGATCACCTGAGGTCAGGAGTTCAAGACCAGCCTGGCCAACATGGCAAAACCCCATCTCTACTAAAACTACAAAAATTAGCTGAGCCTGGTGGTGTGCACCTGTAATCCCAGATACTCAGGAGGCTGAGGCAGGAGAATTGCTTGAATCTGGGAGGTGGAGGTTGCAGTGAGCTGAGATCATGCCACTGAACTCCAGCCTGGGTGACAGAATGAGACTCCATCTCAAAAAAAATGTATAATAATTATCCTGAAAGTAAAATTTCCCAGTAACGTAGTGTTTCCTGCAGGCAATTGATACGTCCATCCTCACTTTGCAATATAGGCTAGAAATTATTAAACTGGAATATCTCTTCCTTTCAAAAGTTTTTTTTTAAATGCTTTTCATAAGGTAGAGAGCCTGAATAAACAGAGTAGGAGAATAAGAGTACTTGAATTCCTAGGTTTATGGACTGGGGAAACACATACATCCTTACACATGGAGATGTCGGAAGGGAAGATGTAGGGGGGAATTCACAGCATGTATTCATTGCTTGATAGGTGCCAGGCACTGAAGATACTATGTCAAGCACCACATAGGCACAGTGAGAAAAGCAGCATGAATAGCATATTTGTTATGGTGGGTGCTAGGGAGAGTGTGTCTCTAATGACTTGTATGTTTCCCTAATCTGCCTGCTTATGATAGATATTTCTTCACCACGTCTTTCTTCCAGTTGGAGCTGTGGATTCAAATGTAAATTCTGTGAGAAGAGGGAATAACCCTTACCTGTGAGCAGCACTTTACAGCTTACAAAATCAATCTCACAGCTACAGTTTGTAAACTCACAGATGTGGAGGTAGGCTCAGAAGCATGGGACACTGGAATAATTTAGCAAAGTCACATGGAGTTGGAACAAGAGGAAGAATACAGATCTCATGTATAGCGTCAAGAATATTCTCTGCAATTACACAGGAACTGTTGCCTTATAGAGGTTTTACAGATGATAATACTAGATACCTAAAAAGTTTGAAAGCATCGTGGAGGAAGTGAAATTTAGGAATTTAAGTAATTACTGGGGTGAGGGAAGCCAAAGACATGCCCTGCAGTTAAATACCCTATCTCTATACTGTGAAATTCAGACTGTAATCCTTTTATGATGAATAGGTCATCTTTATCTCTTATAGGTAATTCAGATCCCTGGTCATCTTTCTTTATCACTTGTAGGTTACTCCCTGAATGGATCACCTCATGCCTCCCAACAATGTGACTGAATTCATTCTCTTGGGACTCACACAGAATCTACACTTGCAGAAAATACTCTTCATTGTTTTTTTATTTATTTTCCTGTTTACTGTGCTGGCCAATCTGTTCATTGTCATCACCATCTCCTCCAGCACCATGCTTTCATCACCCATGTACTTCTTTCTCACTTACTTGTCCTTTATAGATGCCTCCTACACCTCTGTCACCACCCCCAAAATGATCATCGACCTGCTTTACCAGAGAAGAACCATCTCCTTGGCTGGCTGCCTGACTCAGCTGTTCGTGGAGCACTTGCTGGGAGGATCAGAGATCATCCTCCTTGTTGTCATGGCGTACGACCGCTATGTGGCCATCTGCAAGCCCCTGCACTACACAGCCATCATGCGACAAGGGCTCTGCCACCTTCTGGTGGTGATAGCCTGGATTGGAGGCATCCTGCATGCCACTGTGCAGATTTTCTTCATGATCCACTTGCCCTTCTGTGGTCCTAACGTCATTGACCACTTTATGTGTGATCTCTTCCCATTGTTGAAACTTGCCTGCAGAGATACCTACAGACTTGGGATGGTGGTGGCAGCCAACAGTGGAGCCATGTGCTTGCTCATCTTTTCCATGCTCCTCATCTCCTACATAGTCATCCTGAGCTCCCTGAGATCCCATGGCTCTGAAGGATGGCACAAAGCCCTCTCCACCTGTGCCTCCCACTTTACTGTTGTGGTACTCTTTTTTGTGCCTTGCATATTCACCTACATGCGTCCCGTGGTCACCTACTCTGTGGACAAGTTGGTGACGGTCTTCTTTGCAATCCTCACCCCCATGTTAAATCCTATAATTTACACAGTGAGAAACACAGAGGTAAAAAACGCCATGAGGAGTTTGTTGAATAAGAGAGTAACTTAGTCTGTGCATAAAGGCAAGAAAGCAATTAAATGTATAAAGAGGGAGAAATATGTCTGTGGTAAATTGTGCAAGATAATTCAGATATTTTACAGATCATTGACAAAAACTAAGCAAACAAATATTTAAAAAAACAAACAAACCCAGAAACTAACATTTATTGAACACTTAACATTGGCTAGGTCTTTTGCTAGGTATTTTGATAGCTTTTAACATACTTTACCAAAGCTCTAATGTTCATGTACATTGATTCTGGATATTCCATGGAAAGAACAACTATAAATCCCTAGCTTGATAATTCTAGAGTATGTTTTTCTCTAGAGTCTCACTGTTACTTTGCTAAATTCTTCATACATATGTTACATACATGAAATTGGCTTTTGCACAGAATCTTGATCTCAGAACTTTGAAAATTTTGCTTGGCTCATGGTAAAGCAAAAAAAGAGGCTAGAAGTCCTTAGATATGGGTAGATGCAGGGTGACAATTGAGGAGTGAAAGAACCACCGGTGATTTTTTTCCTTTGTCCCTCCCTCCCTCCCTCCTTCCCTCCCTCCCTCCCTCCCTCCCTTTCTTCCTTCCTTTCTTTTTTCTCTTTTTCCTTTCTTTCTCTCTTTCTCTTTTTCTTTCTCTCTCTTTATTCTTTCCTTCCCTTCCTCCCTTCCTCCTTCTTTCTTCCTTCTCTCTCTTTCTCATTCGGAGTCTACTGAAAGCAAAGAGAGATGCCTACAAAAAAGAAAGACATAATTAATAACATCTTAAAATTTTTTTCCTCAGCACAAAAAATATGCTAGAACTTATGAGATTACTCTTAATTTGTTCTGATTTTCTTAAATCTCTTTATAGCTCACAGTTTTTCTTGAATATAAAGGACTTTGTTTTGTTTTCTTTGCCAATATTTGAGAAGCTATTTGAATCTGCAAAAGTAAACTTTCTTTTATTTAATCTCAATAAAAAGGCATATGCTAAGTTTCTAAAGTTATTGTTCATTATATGTGCCACATATATTTATAAATGAGTGTCTTTTTATTTATCAGACACATTCACTTCAGTTAGGTGACTTAAATCACACACTAAAATGCCAGTTTCAAGATTACTGTCCCCATTTTATAGAGAAGTGAATGAAAGCTAAGAGAGGTACATAGATTTTCTTGTCTCAGCTCATACCTCTGAATTTCAGCAACAAAATTTGAATCTAGGTCTTCCAAATCTGTCCTATTTCAAATAAAACAGTTGTTTATGGTAAGTTTATGTCCATAGATAAGAAATTTATATGTAATCTTGATGATTCACTTTGCCCTTCAAGAAAGATGACGCCAAATTTGTTGTGGCCATTTCTTACATATAGTATATAGTCTATATGTAGTTCCTATATGCACATGAATTATATATTCTTATATGCAGTATATATTTTACATGTAGTTCCTATATGCACATGGAAAATACCACATCATTCTATGTTACTACATAACATTTCATGAATCAAAGTTTCTCTGACAGTAACACAGTTACTTCTCACAAATGATTTTTTTTTCTTAAGCTCATTGATCATCTACAGCTATTTCTTCCATAATTTGAGCATATAGTAATGCCAGAACATGGGCTATTTGTTCTACCTGTTTTTTTTGTGGGAGGCAGGGCAGGGGATGACTGTATTTTAGCTTATGCACGAATGTTCACATTAATAAGAAATAGAACTTTTTCCTCACAAAATCTAAGCTTGAAAGATTATATAATAAGCACTTGATCTAATAAAAATAAATTTGCAATTGCTAGTGAAATTTAAATATTTCAACAGAATCTAGATGAAATAATTTGTGATTCGCTTTGCATTATGATTGTTAGATAGGAGATGAGGGTAAGCCAGGGACAGGGATAGAAAAAGTATTGAGAAATGTTATTTCTATTCTAAGACAAAAAGAAAGGTCTGAAGACAGAAACTAAGGGCAATGATTGTGTCTTAGGGGGTACACCAAGTACTCAGTGGAAGGGTGAGAAGATTAGTTAGACACAAATTATAAATGAGACATAAATTTTAAATTGTCAATAGCAAACCTGGAAGGTGTAGAACTGAAAGAAGACATGTAGTAAGCCTGGCATTCTCAGTGGGTGAAGTCCTGCTGGTTTGTAAACAATGTTTAAGAGTGTTAAGAAATTCTTTTGCACCCATCATCAAGAGTCTCTCATGAAGACCAACTTCAATCTGATTATTTCTGGTGCTTAAAAATAAAATGACCTAAAAGCAAGTATGCACATTTCCCCCTATAAATTAAACAGAAAAATAATATTTGGATCTGATGCATAAGAATGCTTTGGTTTAATCTGAATATTCAATTCAGTAAAAATACTAGGCAGTATTTAGGTAAGGGGAGTGATACTATTGTTAAGGCCAACTATGAAGCGCATGTATTGTTAGGTTTTTTACATATTTTGCCTTCTGCCATGATTGGAAGCTTCCCCAGACCTCCCCAGAAGCAGAAGCTGCTATGCTTCCTGTATAGCCTATAGAACTGTGAGCCAAGTAAATCTCTTTTCTTTATAAATTACCCAGTCTCAGATATTTATTTATAGTAGTGTGAGAACAGACTGATACAGATAAAATAAAATACATAAATTGGTAGATAGTATGTCTGTGGTGCTAAAATTTCAGGGGCAGGGTCATTAGGAGAATAAAAAACATCTAAAATGCCTCCTCAGAAGGAAAACAAAGAAGGAAAAAAGTTGAGGATCATTCCTGTTATCCATGTCTACATGGTTAGGTAAGAACACAGTTACCTGCTTTTAGTAACTTTAGAGAACTGAGCAGGTAGTTCAAGTGCAGAGGTCAGACCATCACCTGTGAGCCCAAATCCAGTAAAGTTGAGAGACTCTCCTTTCGCAAGATACTTTAAGGTATTCAGCCAAATATGTCAGTGAACCAGTTGTAATCTAGGAACTATATTGCAAATGTTGAATAATAATATTTCTTTTACTGAAGGTAGAAAAGGAATGAAGGTTATAGGCCAGACATGGTGGCTTACGACTGTAATCCCAGCACTCTGGGAGACGGAGGTGGGTAGATCCCTTGAACTCAAGAGTTCAAGACCGGCCTGGGCAACTTGGCAAAACCCTGTCTCTACTAAAAACACAAAAATTAGCTGGGCATGGTGGTGCCCGTCTGTAGTCCCAGCTACTCGGGAAGCTGAGGCAAGAGGATTGCTTGAGCTTTGGGAGGTCAAGGTTGCAGTGTGCCATGATCCTGGCACTGCACTTCAGCCTGGGTGACAGAGTGGGACCCGGCTTCTTCAAAAAAAGAAAAAAAAAAAAAGAATGAAGGCTATGATTCCAAATATTTTAAAAATTAAAGCCATACCATTTGACTTACTGGTTATGGAAGGAGAAATTTAGTCCTTAATATTTTTCTGGCTGAAGTTCATTAAAAAAATTTTTATTAATGGCAGCTATCCTGCAGTTAGATGTGACACAATTTCAAGAATAGTCTGAAAACATTAACAGAGTATCAGACGAGGTATTAAAAAATTCTGTCCTGACACTTGCTAGGTGGCCAAGAGAAGTCATACTCCCATTTCTTCATCTGTATTGTCAGGCAGAACAAGAACTGTGTGGCTATTCTGTTACTGAAGGACAGAATGTAGCTGAGGAGCAACTCATTGAATGGGGAACACAGTGATCTAGTTTTGCACTTGTGAAGCATCAGCTTGGCTTGACTCCAGCGAAGCTCTGCCCCTGGGAAAAACCCAGTCATTGCAGGGGTGAATGTACTGTGATTAGCTTTTCAGTCAGTAGAAACAGCCTCAAAGGGATGTGGTTGGAATGAGGCAAGCCTGCACATTGTGGAGTTCTGTGCTAGTTCACCACTCTTCCCTCCTGTAGCCCAGGCCCAGCACCCAAAGGAGGACATCTCATTAATGATGTTTCTTCTGAAACGTGGATTGGAAGCTGTTTACAAATCGAGCTCAAAGAGCAGCCACAAGGCAAGCACAGTCCCATGAATGATTCTGTAGACAGCTTAGCTGGCTACGTTTTTTGGTAAAACGTTTCCTATTTAGATAAAATTTACGCTTCTCTGCCAACCACAAATGTTGTTTCCCATTTAAGTTCTTGGACACTTAGAACAACTATTTTAAATATTTCTTTGAAATGCTTAGAAACTTAGCCCTATCACATCTCCATTAAATGATTATTTTTTCTGCAGGTCCTGATTTACTTTGACACTCTAATGTACCCTGGTTCCTAGCTCTTCTGAAGAAGAAAATTCATGTGAGTACTCCTGGATGAGGCCAGACTCTCGGTCCCTCTAACATGATCATAAGAAAATTTACTTGCATAATCTCTGCCTTTTACTTAGTGGGATCATCAGGTAACTGGCTTTTGGGGATCACAGAGATGACACCAAACACCAAATGAACTTTGGAGATAGCCTTAAATTTTTATTTGAGCATTAAACGTATTCCTATTAATTTGAGCTACTATTTTGAAACTGTTAAAATAATGGAATCACCTGATTACTTGCACTCTTATATTATGCTTAAGATGTCCATTAATTCACTTGTTTGTTTTATTTGTATATGCAAATTCTGCTCTCAGAATGGAGAGACTTGATTTGTTTTAATTCGTAGCTTGATTTGTTTTAATCTTTTTTGGCAAGTTTTCTGAAATTGTCTACTTTCTGACCTCTGTCCAGATAATTAAGATTAGAAAATAAAATAGTGTATTTATATTCTAGAGATGTACTCTTAGGAGAAGAGGAACCAGAATAACTGGTATGCCTCATATGGTATTCAGAGAAATCTTCTGTTTCTCTTCTTTCATTTGACTCTCTCTTTGTGTATATATATATATATATTATATGCATTTCTTCTTTTCTCTTGTTCCAACTTCATTTAATCTTTATTTTTCTACTAATCAGTTTTGAGAAAGAAATTACGTGATGTCTGTCTATTTTAGTTGGTTAATGATAATTCAAATTCAGGTTTTCATTTTTAATGAAAAGATAAATTGAGTT